AGGGTATGAGAGGTTATGTGGCTCAAGCAAAAAACAATGAACCCCATGATCATCATCATCTAAGCCGTATGAAACAGTAGAGGAAAATATCACTAACAAAGAAAAAGGGTATGAGAGGTTATGTGGCCCAAGCAAAGAACAATGAACCCCATGATCATCATCATCTAAGTCGTATCCCAGCTATATGGGGTGGCAACGTGAATCCTGTTTCACTATTCTGTTCTGTTTAGTGTCATACATTGTTAAGTTAAGAGAGTTTAAATCATTCCTTACTACTTAAACCCATGTCCTTTCTGGTCTATCCCTATCCCTTCAAGCCCCTTCAACTTGCAATAGAACAATTCTTCTTACAGGTATTGTAGATAGTCTTCCATGCATGTGACCAAACCATCCTAGTCTACTTTCACTCATTTTATCACCTATTGGAGCTACTCCTAGGTTCCTTCGAATTAGTTCATTTCCTATCCTTTCTAGTCTTCCCACTCATCCATCCCAGCATACACATTTTTGTTGCACTCATTTTTTGGACATGTTTCTTAACTTCCTAACACTATGCTCCATGCAGTATTGCTGGTCTTACAACTGTTTTATAGAATTTTCCTTCTAACCTGAGTAGTATTGCCAATCACATAAGACTCCAGACGCACCTCCATTTTGCCCATTCTGCATTAATTCTATGGGAAACATCCTCCTCAATTTCTCCATTTTTCCTATCCAACACTAATTTTGTGGGTAACACCCTTAATCTCTCGCTTACATTTTTCTATAGATAATCTCTCCCTTGTATTTACATAGCATATAATTTGTTTTGGTCCTACTTACTTTAAAACCTCTTGTTTCCAAGGAATTTGTCCATGAACTTAATTTTGCATTTAATCCTTCATTATTTTCATTAATAAATTCAATGTCATCAACAAACAACAATGAACCCCATGATCATGTACAAAATCTACAAAGGCACCCCAAATCAAAATAATGCCCAAAATCTACAATGAACCCCTATACCTCTCATTTCTTACCTCTGCCATTCTCTATTGTCCCTTGACACTTTTGGGCATTCCTCTAGTTGGCAAGGACAATGCTACAGTATCATTGAAGAACTCTAGTGTTTTTTTTCTTCCTACCTCTCCCTCTCACCTTCAAAGCAAACTTCTCTCTAATGATCCTAGAATTGCCATCATTAGCCACCTCCAGTCACCACCATGATTCACAATTTCAATATTGATGGACATTTTTCCATACCATAATAGGGAAATTGTCAAGGTTATTTCACCAAGATATTTAAAAAACCTAAAAAATAAGGAAAATGACTAAAAAACATATAATTCGTTAATAAAACATCATGTAATTGCACGTTAAGAGTCAGAAAAACAATAGCATGCAACCTCTTAAATCAAATAAGAAAAGATTAAGAGACTTAAATAGCTTTCTCTCTCTGTCTCTTTCTTAGTCTTTTAGCCATCTTCTCTTCTATACAAAAGCCATTCACTTGTTTGATTTCTATCTTTCTTGTTACTATACATTTTAATCAAATTGAGAACCCTCTTAGTTGTTTTTCTTTTTATCCCCTTTTTTAAATTATTATGACTTAGTAAGCGAACCGCATTGAAAATAGTAAACCAATCATCCAATCACAAAAACCCCATTTGCTCTTATAGGAAAAGATTTCCATAAATTTTTAACAATTTTAACAAAATATTATAAAGTTTGGAAAATTCTAAAATGCAAATTTTAGATGTTGATTTATCAATGACATTCAAAATATCCCTAATATATCATGTTTATGTAGGGGAAGAGGATCCTTGGAATATTTCATATTGCCCACTCACAAAATGGGGAGATTTCTAGGAGATTTCACCAAAACCTGCCAATATTGTAAACCATTCTCACCACCAACAGCATCCTATTTCTTCACTCATTTTCTTCTAGGCACCTAAATGTGGCTTCAACATGTTTCTCTCCTACCAAGAAAAACAACTCAAGTGTTTTATCCATTTTGATCTCTACAACCACCACCTGATTTATAGGAATTGTTCTATCAATTAAAAAATAAATCATTTTTTATTGGAAATGGTAAGTTCATTAATACAAAATTAAGTACAACTCTCAACCCCTAAACAAGTGTTGAGTCCCCAGCATCTTTATTACAAAATAGCCCAGCAATCTTTATTACAAAACTGCCCACTAATCTCCCTTGTTGTATTGAGGATTTCCCTTATAGCCTGTCTATAAATCCAGGCTCCCAACTTATCTGATTGCAGCCAGTCCCCCTCTATCTCAATTTGGTGTTAACCCCAATTGTTTGGCATATCTTACACCTTAAAACAAGGCCATCACCTCCACTCTCAATGAGTCCCCCACTCCTATCGACCCCAAAAACATAGCCACAGTTTTGCCATTTTCATCTCTAAATATTCCCCCTATAGGGCCCAGGTTACCTCTAGAGCTCCCATCAAAGTTCAGCTTCATTCTTTGTTATGCTGGTGGGGACCACAACTCCTACACAGTAGGTTTTACGGAAGTTGTAGATGCCACCCCTCCCCAATTCCTATAAATGTCCTCAGCTGAGAAATCTTTAAACAAATTCAAAGTTTTCAACCATTGAATAATCATATTGGTTATTCTTTCTATAGTTTCATCCTTGGATATCTCCACTCCTTTAAAGATCCTATTGTTTCTTTCTTCCCAAACAAACCATAGGATAATTTCTCTCAAGGATCTCGACATTAATTTTATCAAAAAAAAGGCTCTCGACATTAATCTCCCACACCTCTTCGGCTGCCTGAAAAAGCTTGGGTCTAAAAGACTTACCACGTCCTAGGGAGGTGTCCACCTACAACCAAAGATAGAAGAGAACCAGGTCCAAATAAAGCACACAAACTGACAAGAAATTAATACGTGTGATCGTCTTACCAGTCACCGGAACCCAAACAAAGGCTACAAACATGGGGTGACAGGCAAAAATTTGGCCTTTTTCTTTGCAACATATCTAGAGTATTGGTTTTCTGGAGAACCACCTCCCAACAAAAAGCCTGAATTTTTGGAGGTACATGCCGACACCAAATGAACACATCAGATGGGGAAGGTTTCCAAATTCTATTGTCCAAACAAGATTGATCCAGATAGGTTGACCCTAAAAGAGTAACTAATTCATCCACCATTACCATTTCCGATCCATTAGACCTCCTTAGACCCAAGTCCCAAGAATTATCAATAAAAACTGAAGAGATCACTCTCATTTTATTTTCTAACAATGAATAAATAATAGGGAACCTATCACTGAGGGGAATCTCTCTAACCCAAACATCCTTTCGAAACAACACTTTGTTTCCTGCACAGGCATCAAATTTAAAGCAAGGAAGGGTGGAAGGCAATATACCATGAATAGCTTTCCAAGGAGAGCATCGAGAAGGCAATAAATCATTATGTTAAATTGGTGAATTTGTCAAACCAAACCTTCTTATTCTCAACCTCACCTCCCTCCTTTTCTAACTAATCCAACCCTTCTTCAACCTCAACTTCTTTGTCACCTCCTACGACCTCCAATGCCTCCTCCATCTCTAGCCAAGCCAGGTCCCATATACCTTATGAGGAGGAGATTTTGATCAAATGGCAAACTGGTAGACACCCCCACTGAATCCATTACCTCCCTTCCTTCATATTGACTGGTGTGAGACCCTAAACAAAATAAGAGAACAAGAATAAGCTTCCATGTGCATCAACTTCTCACCTTCTACACCTACCATATGGGCCAGTTGAGCAAACCACAATCAAGCATAATCCGAGAAACATGAAACTAATAATCTTTAAGGCTGCATTTGGAAGCGATATAAATCAAGAACCAATTTAAATTTTACACCGGTTCATTTTGTAGGCATTTGGAAGAAGCGTGTAATTATGATCGACGTAAAACTCCACTCCGGTTTAGATTTGTTGGTGTTTGGATGGAGTGGAGTTTTACATCGTGAATCGATGTAAAACCTCATCAAGCATAAAGTTTTACATCAATAATCAATGTAAATACTACATTGATTTTATATGTAAAACTTTACACTATTTTTATCACGGTTTTCAAAATGTAATGGTCACCTATATATACGGTTCAGTGTAAAACATTGATTACACTGATGATGTTTTACACCGGATCCAAACAAAGCCTAAGTTTCACTCAGACCTACCACTAAGAGAGAGAATGAGACTTGTTTCCTATTTGTGCATCACTTATATACCTCCATTGCCACTTCTTCAATACACTTCTGAAGACCTTTATCATCATTAGATTTTAATCCAGCATGTATTGGGCATTTGGGCTCTTGACACTCTTGGGCCAATATTGGCCTTAAGCCTGTCCCACACAACACCGATCATCACTAAGAACTTACATTTCAGACCCACCTGTCAAGCCTGCCCTACTTAAACCTGCCACAGATCCAACCAAATCTCGATCCGCAACAAATGGCCCTGGACCCAAAATTGGACCATTCACCAAAATGATAGGCCCATACTTCATGCCATTATAGGCATGTGTAATTCCCCAACAATCAGCAGGACCTCCAAATGTATGTCAGTCAATGACTGCTAATGAAATGAATTCACCTTTAACACTCCTAAAAAGATAGTCACGATGTTCCACCTCTTTTAGTCTCTTTGGGACATAAATTTTAGCCCTGGTTTTGGTCACATTCCATGTGGCTTTCTACTGTATATCTTTAACCCAGCTTGCCATATTGCATCATAGCAGTTTGGAGGTTATTAAGTATTGTATTGTAATCAACTCTGAAATCTGAATTGCTTTAATTTCACTGCCTTAAGCCTTCATTCACAAAGATAAGTGGCCTATTATCCTTTCCTTTTGTCTTGGTTCAACTTATCCAGAAAGTTCAGGTTTCTAAGCTAACTTGAATTCTTCCAAAATTTCTGGAAACATAATCATTTGGAAGCAGGGAAAGAATGCAATTTTGAGAAAGACATATTTCAGAGGCAGGAAGAACAGTAATTACCAGATCAAGGTCCTCTTTTTCTACTATTTCTATATCAGAAATTTGCCCTTCATATCGTCGTTTAAGATATGCCTCAACATCCAATTCCATTTTATCCTGGAACATCATGGAAAGCACAAATTATCAAAAATGAAAATTCAAAAACAATGAAATCAAAATACTAACGCACTAACTACTGAAAAAAAGATTCTGTTAACCCAATCTTTTATCAGAAATTCCAATCCTGCTCCTCCTGTCAGGTATTGTTTTAACTGTACCTTTGTGGCTGCGTAGAAGTAAGGAGGAAATTTGTATTTCGACTTAAAAGTAGATCCATCCTGCAGCCAAAAAAAAGTAAAACAATTGAATATAAACCGAAGTCTAAGCCAGATTAGCGAACGAGAAAGAAAAAATATTTCCAAAATGACCAGTAAAACAACCTATCCTGCTTATGGAAGCATGTGCTGTTCGATTAAAGGAAGGAGGGGGGAGATACCTGAGAAACAAAGTAAAGATCCACACAACTATACGTCTTGTTAGTATCTTCATCCTCCCACGATGACTGCAAAAAATGAGAACATTGAAAATATTTCCAAATGAATTCTAGGAGCATATAAATGGGCAATTGGGAGAAAGGAAGACGGGAATGAAGACCACGAATTGGGAGCAAGTGACTTACAGATGCAAAAGTCAGCAACCATCCAAGCCTCTTTTCGCCTTCGGTGAACAGATCAAAGCCAAGTTTTGATTCAAATTCTTCTTCGGCACTGCGAATGAGCTTTTGCTTCTTGGTACTTCTCGAATCCCTGCGATCTCTCCGCCTACCTTCATTGTTCATGGTTGCTTCCTAGTGCAGCTTCTAATCACTCGGAAATGGACGTAGAAAAAAAATAAGTCTGTACCTCTGATTCAATCAACAGACTTAAAACCCTAGATGCTAGCTAACGTTGGATAGGATTCTCGAGTAATAGTTGCCGGAGAAGTTCGCGAACCCCTCGGTCTTGACATAGTTGCCGCGCGACCCCTACTGACCGTTTTCCCGCGCTTTCTTCATGTATTTATATCCTATTTTGTTTGACAGAAATACCCCTTATATCTTGGGAAAATCGTGAAAATTGAGTAAGTTGTTGGATCGAAGGTCTTAGGCTTACGCAGCTAGAAGCTACGAGCCTACGACCCGTATCGCGGGAAACGCTATCCGAACTCGAAATCGAATTCGGTCCACTTAATGATGATCCGAATTCGATCGGTTTGTAACTGGACTAAATATGGACTAAAACCTTATCCCTTATCCCATCTGCTATGATCCGGCTCGATTTGGTATCCTATTAATAAAGCTGGTTTCAACGTTGTATTTTTACTAAATAATAATGGGTTTAAGTTTAATGCGTTCATTTTGTTAGTAAAGTATCAAAGTAACTCTTGGTTCATTTTATGGAGGGTATATGATATGTTTGTCACTAATATCTGGTTGCAATAACAAGAATCCAATATAAATCTGACTAATATATTTATTTTGAATGTGGAAATTAGCAAGACAATATTGGATTTGGGTATATCCAATTTTAGTGTAACCAATGGCCCATTTGAGCACTCTCCAATTGTCTTACACACTATATAGCTATAAGGAATATATTTGGTCCTCCTAGATTTGAAGACATATGGTGTAAGAAAAATACATTTAACATAAATTAGAGTTAAGTGGAAGGTTCAAAGCCCACGTATGAGGAGCAACAAATTAGATAATTTTAGCCATTCAAAATAACATCGATTTTAGGCATGTTCGCTTGCTTTGAAGTCTGACATTTGAACATGCAATAACTACCTTAAGAAGTATATTGGTATTAGTAAATTTTTCTTTCATCTAAACTCTAGAATTTTAAGAATTATCAAATATTTATTTTGACCCCATATGTGAGAGTTTTTATTTGTCTTTTGGAGGTTTCATTGGAAAAAAAAAAAGTTGTATGATTACACTTTAAGAGATAAGAGATAAGAGGAAACAAACAACCATTTTAGTTATTCTCCATATGAGGAGCAACAAATTAGACAATAACTTAATAGACTTTTGGAAGTCATTGAACTTTTTTGGAAACAATGTTTGTGTGTCTCTTAACTACATGAGGGAGACTGCAACATCACCTTCTTTCATATCTCCTCCACCAATAGAAGAAGACAATACATTATTTAGGCTCAGGAAAAAAGTTGATAGTTGACCTGGGATTTGGTTGAAATGAGTGCCTTGGTGCAAGAAATTTTCATTATGTTATTTTCTTCTTGTCTATTCCCAATCGCTTCAACCTTTCAAAATCTCTCTTGCCAATGCAAATTACTACAGAGATAATGCTCTTCTTAGTAGGGTTCATGATGCAAAGGAAGTGGAAGAGACATTATTCTCTACTGTGTTAAGGCACTAAGCCTAAACAAGCTACTTGTGGCCTTCTATCAAACATGTTGGCAATAAGTGGGAACAAATTTGGCAGACTTTGTAAGTTTTTTTTTTTTTCAAAAACCCAAACACTTGTTGAAATTGATCGCACAACCCTTGTGTTACTTCAAACAAAAAAAAAAAAAAAAAAAGATAATGTGGACTCCACACATGATCTCTAGCCCATTAACCTTGTTAATGTGTCTTATAAAGTTGTAATGAAAAAAATTGTAAATATATTAAAGCCTCTTCTTGATAGGCTCATTTTCGCCCTTCCAAAACACCTTCATCCATAGGTGCTAGATTCAATATAGTAGAAATATTGCTACTAAGAGAGATTGTGCACTATTACTCAAAATTATTTGGTTAACATGAAAACTTTTTATCGAAGTTAGGTCTTGCCAAAGCCTACGATCGAGTTGAGTAGAAGTTTATTGATTGGTCTCTTCAAATAATGGAATTTCTTTGAGTAATTTCATAAGTTAACTTGTGTATTTCATCTACATCTTTTTAGTAAGCTGCTAAGTGATCATTTGGGGGAGAGGGTCACAACAAAAAATGTTGGGACATGGATACCCTCTCTCCCCGTACATCTTCATTATAGTTTTTGATGTGTGTATCTAAACTGTTGATCCAAAATCTCGACATAACTTGATAAGATGGGGTTCACATGATGCATATGGTGAATGTTAGAAATTCCTCAATGAAATGTTATAAATGTTTGATGTTTGTAAAGTTGAATGTTAGAAATTCCTCATTGATATATTTTAATTGAAGTTACAGGGTTATAAGTGTTATCATCTCTCATGCGTGTGAAGTTCTAATAAAACCAACCATCTCAATGGTGCCCTCGTATTACATGGCAATTCAAAACATTTATAAAGGTGTTTGTAAGAAAAATAATGCTCKAGCTCACAATTTTGGGTGGGAATTAATTTGAACTAAGGGTGTCATAGATCAGTCTTGGATTGGACTTTGTCCAATCCAAAATCAATTTGGATGGATTGGATGGACCAACAAGACATATTGGATTAGACCAATTTAGTCCAAAATATTTATTAGCTTGGATTGGACTTGGTCTGACCGTAATAAATTTATATTGGAGTGGGTTGGATTAAGCCAATATCTGGTCCAATGATATAAGATAAAAATATAGGTGTCAATGGATCGGGTTTGGGTTGAAACCAATCTAAATCAAAATGAATTTCAACATATTAGACTGTCCATACATCAAATTGTACCAGTCCAAAATGTTCATTGGATAGGATCAGACCTGGTCCATTTATAATGGATTCACACTGGACTGGATCAAATATGTTATTAAAAACAAATTCTCAACTTTAGATATTAACTGTGGGGTTCAATAATAGAGGGGGTGAGAGTATCATTCTTTTGGATCCAAGTCCAACTTTCGAAATGCAAGACATGAAAATGGAGGATGCCCTATTTGGAAAAGTATGTTAACTAGTAAGAATGGCCCTTTAAAGGGGTCGTGTTTCAATATTGGCAATGAGAGACAAGTTATATATATATGAAGATCCATGGCTTCCTTCTAGACTTGTTAGAAGCACTTCATGTACTTATAATGTTGATTGAATAATGTTAGAGTTGATGAACTCCAATACTAAAAATTGGAAACACGACATTATTTATTCTTTACTTGACCAAACTACTCATCTTATTTGCAATATCCCCTTGCTAATTGACATGCAAAATGCTCAATATCGTATAACATGCTTGTCACCTCATGCCCAAAGGAGTCTTTACATCATCATCAGCTTATTTGTTCTTAGCTTCAAAAGTTTCTTCATCTTCACAACACCTACCTTTTAATGGTATGCCATAGGCCATTTTTTGGAATATATGACTACCACCTTGTGTTCTCACTTTTCTTTGGTACTGTATAATGTGTTATCTGCCTTTGAAACTTGACTTATCTATATTTTGTTCTCACATTGGTGTTACATATAATATTTGTGGTGATAATGAAAAAACGTTGAAGCACTAATTCTTTTAATACCCAGCCATGTGTGTTATATGATTCAGGATATTAGGGACTTTAACGATGGATCAACAAGCTAATTAGAATTCCATGAGATGGCTTGAGGAAGGTTGGTGCCTCCAATCTATGGGAATTATGATAGAAGTGACTTAACCTTTAGCATTGTTAATATCCAACATATGAAATTTTATAGTACTTTGCTACAAGTCTCTAACCAAACATGAATCAATAACATGTCAGCCATCTTATTGTTGTTATTGACAGGTGGACACCTCCCCCTTCAGGTTATATCAAGATCAATGTATGGTGGGATCCTTTATGCATGGATCCCATGTGGGTACTGTCATTAGGAATTCTTTGGGTCACTTCATATTGGCTCAAGCTATGGACATCTTGTGCTTTTCTTATACATGTTGACGCTTGTTTGTTCCATAGCATTTCAAGTAATTAGCATTGAAGAAACTACCTCGAAAAAAAAAATCTTGATCCAAATGTTTAGTTTCTTTACGTTACAAATTTGTGAGGAGCAAAATATGCTAAATTAAATTCTAGTGTATTGTTGGTTTAGAGTTTGTCTTATTAATTTGTTAGTTTATGTTTTGTAGAAATAGATGGAGATAGGAGGGTTAATTGTTTGGAAGTGTGATAGAAATCAAGGTGGTGAAGTAATCCCTGCTTTAAGTGATAAAGAATTGAAAGCAAGACTAAATTGGGTGCAATTTTTCCATCCAATTCAGTTTTACATTGCAAACAAACAAAACTAAAAAATGTTTACAACTCATAAGTTAGGGATGCAATTGTGTTATCCAATTTGAATAGTTTTATAATGTATTGGTGCAACACAAGTTGTGCCTATAATATTCAATTGGAAGTCAACACCAAAGATGCAAACAAACTATAATGGATTAACAAATCTAATTATGACATAAACACTTTTTGTAAATTGAACTAAAAATTACTTCAACATCGTATATCAAGGAGAAAAGCAAATTGGAAATAACTTTTACTAGATTTAACATTGTCTTGTTTGTTTACTTTTATCACATTTACTAGTGTAAATGCATGCAGGTGCAATTTGGCCAAGTGTTAATTCCAACTTACTTTTGCTTTGAATTTTACATTGTCTTTTTTGTTTGTTAAAAAGTAAAATACAACGTAAAATGGTGTTGTCCAACATCATATGCAAAATAATGGAGATAGGAGGGGACTATTTGTTTGGGAGTGAGGTAATTTTTTATTTTGACATGGCCCTTACTTTATATGAGAGAAATTTGAGGTTGGAGGAAGGTGGTATGATGCTCGTGTCAATATTTGAAAATCAAAATTTACGCTATTAGTGAGTGCAAATGATACAAGAGTACAAGTTTTGTATTAAGAAGGGATGCAAATCACAATTATGAATAAATAAATGCAAACTTTAGTTGGTGGAAATTTTGCATTGGAACCAAAAGAAGACTTTGTAAAAACAAAAAGCTCAAACTAGCTTTATTGATAAATGCAACATAAATTTAAGTATACATAATTATAATGTAAAAAGTATTGAAATGGATGGTGTTAAATTACATATGAATTGACTCGCATTTG